GCATTCTTGAACGCTTACATCTCATTTTTATGCATGTCTCACATCCTGCTCTGGGATTTGTATTCATACCTTAGTGAGTTAGGACTTCTTAAAATTCTGTTCACCACACTTGCTTTTCTCTATCACTAGATTGAAAATTGATTTATTTTTCGTTCCCCCCACTGCCTTGCACGTACTGAAAAAAACAACAATCGCTCCTTAAATGAGCATTCTCCCTAACTCTGTACACTTGAGCAAATAAATCATGAGAATTCACTGCCTTTGGTTTGTCCAACCAAAGAGTGAAAGACATCATGGTGGCTGTCCTTAAATCACAAGGGTATATTGGCTGAATGGGAAGACGCAGATCAAAATACTTTGGGCCCATGGAGAAAGATGCTGGGCATCACTGAGGCATTATTATAAGGGCCACGGTTAAGGTGTGAAACCCCACAGAACATCTAAGAAAAGAGAGGGAGCAGGAAGTAAAGGGAACATTCACGAGCACACCACAGCTTCCAAGCACCATCTTTGGTGCCTCCAATGCTATTCTCTCTCACCTGCAGGACAAGCCTGAAAGATTGTGCATAATTGTCCCCGTTTTCAGAGGGGAAACGCACAGCTTAGCAAGGCTAAGTAGCTCATCCAATTGCCCGATACCAAAGCCTACTTTGTTTCTCCAACACCCTACTGACTCAGCAGACAACTCCACTTATATTTATCTCCACCAGAGAGCTGTCCTTATTGAGAATCTTCCCTGGGTTCTTCTTGGAAAAGCCTAGAAAAATCCACCTGAGCCACTTGCAGATGGAATTACGTGTCTGCGTTAATTGTAAGGAGCATCCTCTGAGGGTTCTCTCCACGAAGTAACAAAGAGATCCAAAGGGCACCATCTGGGAGAGGCTGGAGAAGAGGAGACCAAGTAGGCCAGCCTGGTCCTTCTAGTTCCCAAACTTGACGGGACTGTTCCATCTTGCATAGACTTCAGCTGGCTCAATACATAACCAGTGCCAACTGCAGTGACATTTCTGGACTATGTAGCCAAAGCCAAATTCATAATAACCTGGAGATGATTCCAGGCTGATCGCATTTCCTCCCTCACTTTTATTCCCAGGAAGAGATCGTGTTCTTTATAACCTGGGTTCTTTCAGGGTGTGTCTATGAAGCACTTTCCATAACCTGCGGGTATTTTCGAAGCAGTGGTCAAGGCGCATAAACTTGCAGTCACTTAGGTGGAGATTTCAGAGACTTTGGGAGTGTGGGGACAGTTGGAGGAACTGAACACGGGTTGTTAAATGCTGCTTCGGGCTGATATATGAAAAGGAACCACTTTCCTTATGGGGTGAGGATGCTGTTTTGTATTCTCCAGATAAACCAAGGGACGAGGCTCCATGACTTTTGGTGAATTTCTCCTTATTTCTCTGTGTTAAAGTTTGATTGATTATAGGGAAACTTGACAGAACAACACAAGTCCATTCAAAACTGATGAGTACAGATGTTGCCTTTGAAAACGGCAAATCGAAAGAACCTTGGGGCAAGACAGTGCTGTTTTCATCTCTCTCTCTCCCTCCCTCCCTCTCCCTGGTTTTTTTTTTTTTTTCCTTTTAAGATGTAAGTTGTCCAACAAGATCTCTTTATTTGACTTTGAAATCAAATATATCTGACTCCAGTTCTGAGCTGGGTAAATTGCTGATGACATTGGATTATCCTTCACTGATAAGATAGGCTTGATAATTTTTTGATCTTTAAAAAAGAGTCAACAGAAGGATGCCAAACCTTATGAATAATATCTAATCTCAATCCTGCCCCAAAGTCTAAGTCTGTATATATGAATACGCATTAAAAAGTAACAGAGAGATGTTAACATGGTTATTTTCCGACTGTTGGAAAAAATTCCGTTTTCCAAATCCTCTATAAGCAGCACAGAATTACCTTTATAAGCAGAAAAAAGTTAGTTGAAACAAGCCAAGCGATCACAAATTCCAACGTGTAACAAGAAGCCCAAGATGTACGATAATCAGAAAGATTTTAGATTTTGAGTAGGAAGATTTTAAGTAAGACAAGGAACACGGTAGGTCCTCAATAACTTCTTAATCGGATGTCCAGATGTTATTTTGTGTCCAACTCTTATTTCATGAAACAAGCTTGTTAGAGGAAGCCATATTTATAGAAGGAATGGTGCCATCAGCAAAGTCGGGGATACTTCTAAATGTGTTGCGCAACGTCTGAGAAACCAGGGCGATGGTTTGGAATATTGAAGAAAAACATTGACTGAAACAGAAAGCACACAGTCTCCCACAGGCTGGCTGGGAACAGGGCAAGGGACCCTTGGATCCCAGGCCTAAGTCCCCCTCATGGCTCTGCCATTAACCAGCGACATAACACCCGGCAATTCATGTAACTTCTGGAACATCCCTACCCTTGCTTGTAAATGAGTTTGTGCCCAGCTCTATGATTCCGTTTGGCCTAGCTGGAAAGAAATGACATTACTGGGTCAGGTACAAGATTGAAGACCCTGGGTTCAAGGTCCAACCAGGCCACTCCTTTGCTGGAATTACCATTTTTACCTCCCTGTGCACACCGAGTTTCCTCATCCCTTGGTTTCAGGTGTCCTCCCTCAGGAAGATGTTGCAAGGACTGACTAATGCCCACAAGTGTCCCAATAACGATGATGCACCACGCAGGTGCTGGGAGTTCCAAACTGCTAATTCCGAACCCACAATAGGATTGCAGTGTGACATGCTGTGACCTTTACAAGCCACCATTCTGTGCTGCATCTGAGCCTTCTCATCCCAGCATCTGGAGTTCTTCCTTACCTTTCTTTCCAAATTCCGAAAGCATTCCCAGCAATTAGGCTGATAGTCTGACTAGTTTCATCTAGTAAGGGGGAGCTCATTTCTCAAAGAATTCTTCAATACCCCCCCCCACCAAAGATAATTCTGAGATTTTTATCTTTCCCAGAAACCACTGAAAACATTGTCCACAGGGAAGGATACACTCACGTTTCCTCCCCTTACTCCGGAGAAAATGAATTCTCAGAGTTTTTGCTTTTTAACATTCCCAGGTTAATTTCTGGGGTTTCCCCTCTCTTTTTTTTTTTTCAAACAGCAGGGATCATGAACCCACATCGCGGTAGTGAGACACTACATTTTAAATCCCTCCTATAGCCAGGGCAGTTTTGAAGGGGGGTAAGGTGAGGTGGGCGCGTGGGACCCTGGAGAGATTCCTCGGCAACCCGGGCAAGCGCACGCCCACAAGGACGGGAAGGCTTGCTTGGTCCTCTGCCCGGGGGAGTTCCGAAAACACAGGTGGACCTGTTGCGCTTCTTCCCACAGATCAGTCCTTTCGCCCGATGATTCCCCAGCCCCCGTGCCGGGTCACCGCAGGGTGGGGGTGGAGAGCGAGGCGGCGGCCGCGGGGGGCGGGCGTCCCGGGCCGGAGTACTTCGCCTCGCCTGCTCCTCTCGGTCGTCCACGTCCGGTGTGCCCCGCCACGTTGTGGGCTGGAGACACCCCGCCCCCCGCCCGATGCTCCCCAGAATCCCGCCGGCACCCACCCCGCGGATGGACCCAGTGCCCGCGCGGCACCCGGACGCGCGGCGGCCGCAGCCCGGACAGGGACCCCGGGGCCAGCCACGGCGGGAGGCGGGCGGCCCGGTATGCAAATGACCGAGGGGCGGGCGGGGGCCGCCTTCCCGCTCGGGATAAAAGGCCGGGGCGGGGCGCGGGGCAGAAGCCGCTGCCTCCCGGGAGCCGGCCGTGCGCTCCGCTTCTGCGCTCGCCCGCCGCACGCCCGCCCGCCCGCACGCCCGCGCGGCCGCCGGCTCCCGGTAAGCACGCGCCGCGGGGTCGGGGACGCGGGGCGGCGGCGGGAGAGGCGCGAGCCGGGGGCCAGCCAGCGCGAGCCACGCCGCGCGCCCCGGTCCCAGCTTCGCCTCGGCCCACGCGCGCCGTCCCGGGCCGCGCTTTCTCCTTGGGAACCAGGGACCCGGCGCCCCCGCGGCGCCCTCCCGGGGCCGGGCAGGTGGTATCTCCGCAGCTTCTGCGCGTGGGGCCGGTTTGCCCCCAGGCCATCAGCAGTCGAGACCGAGAGGACCTGCGTTGGTAGTGCGCGGGATTGGGAGGGACGAAGGGAGTCAAAAAGCAAAGCTTCCAGGACGGGTCGCTGGCTGTCACCCTGTTTTCCCCCTTAGCCGTCGGAGGCGCTTTGCGAGGCGCAGGGAAGGGAGGAACGGGCGGAGGGGGAGAGAGGTGTGGGTGTGTGCACGTTTGAATGAGCAGAACTAATCGCCTTTGGAAGCTGCAGACGCTGGACAGACACTGCCAGGCCCAGCACGTTACCCACCTCTGCAGAGTGGACACCTGGTCTTATGGAAAAAGGACTTCAGTAGTCATCCCACTACCTTTTTTTTCTTCTTATTTGGAAAAAAGAGGCGTTCTTCTGAAGTCTGTTTTTAAGGCTAGCACTTTTCTCAAGGTTGGTCAGTTACGATCGGGGGTTTGTCCGAGGGCCTGTTGTGAAATTGCTTCCTTGTCTCATTCCTGCCTTCACCCCATCCTGCATCCCGGAAAGTACAACGTGGAAAGGAAGAAGCTATTTCAGAGGGCCCCATGCCGGGCTTGCTGTGCCCCCTGTCTGGCTTGCTGTGCCCCCCTCCCCCATTTGCATTGTGGTGTCAGGAGAGGGGGAAGTCAAAGGAACAGCAATCTGGTTCTCCCCAACCGTCTCCCCCAACCCTTAAAACCGGTCAGAACCACCGCATGGATGGCTTGGGAGTCTTTGTGGAGCCCTGAGGGCTTTCAGAGTTGAGATAAGAAACAGCACGTTGCTTTGTGCATATGGTGTCCTTGGAACTAGAGAATCTGAATTGGAAGGTCAAAGGGGCAAAGAATGGAAAACGGTAAAAGCAACACATCCTGGAGAGGATTAATTCTGAGGGAAGGGAGTGGTGAAGGAGTAGAGATACTTGACACTTGTCTCCTCCTGTTTCTGTTTGTGTATGTTGCTGTGGTTCTGGTCAGTAACTGGATAAAAGAAGGTGGGAAGCATGTCCGAGTTTTGGTTAATTTCTGCCCCTGGTGATCAGGAGAATTTACAAGCTCTGGAGAGGATGAACACCGTAACCTCCAAGTCCAACCTGTCTTACAACACCAAATTCTCGATTCCTGACTTCAAGGTAAAATACTGGAGAGAATGAAGGAGGTGATGGGTTGGGGTGGGTGGGTGTGTTCTGGGAAGCCAAGGAGAAAATAACAGGGCAAAGACAGCAAAGCTGAGGATCAGCCTGGGGGTGAGGATGCACAGGGCAAGTCAGTGGTCTGGATGGGACTTGACGCCAGAGCCCAGTTAGTTGTGGTTCCTCTGGACTTACAGACACAGGGCAGGATGAACACGGAGAGATGGGTGTGGTGGGTAGCAGTGTCTTCAAAAAGTGGGAAGAGCATTTTACACACCTGCGCCCTTGTGAGTTGTTGTAGGATCCCTAGTGTTTTGTCTTTGACTTCTAAGGCAACCAACAATACAGTTTAAATGTGCAGGTTTGGAGAGCTTCAGCGTCGGTAATACTCTTGACCTGGATGGAGCAGGGTGGGAAATTCCGGATCCCTCTGGTACTGGTGGGGAGGCAGGAAGGAAATTTAATGGTAAGTGGGCGGATGGCAGAAAGAGATATGGCAGGGAAGAGATAGGAGTCTAAGGGCTCTTGCAGGGGAGAACAAAGTTAAAATGAAACATGTGAAAGAGGAGCAAGGTGTGCACAGTCTTTTTGCTTCAGAATAGTGGAATTTTTGCGGTGCTTCCTAAGATTGCAAGTTCCTAAAAGGAAGAAGCTTGAGGCATCTTTCGATGACACCTGTGCAGATGCGTTGTGGGTGCTGGAGGGATGGCCCCACCCAACTGCCCAGAGGCCCCTCTTGTAGCAAACTGCCATATAATCTTTCAAACCTCAGTCTGCCCCTGTGCCCTAACAGCTGTGCCATCAGCACCATAGTGATGCTACTCTGTTTGCTAGTGTTCATTGAGTGGTAGGTTGGGGGCCAGGCCCTTCAAACGCATCATCTCGAATCTTTACCAATCCCATGTGATAGATCAGGAAGGGCGGAGAAAGGAGACCAGGGCTGCAGATCTGGTAAGTTACGGCAGCACTGGTTTCTGAACCCATATGTTGCTGCCTGTTTCATACCTGCTCCTGTTTGTCTGGTGACCCCCGCTGTGAGGGTTAGGGAATCAGTGTGCACTCACCGCTCTGTGTAAGGCAGCTTGTTAGATGGGAGGGAGCAAACAGAAGAGACAGGTCCCTCGCCAAAAGATGCTTAACAACATCAAGTTACTTGAAAAGAAGCAACTTCACGTATTAGAGATAACCGGGCCTCATCATTTCCTAATTACCTTTTTTTTTTTTTTTTAAAGATTTTATTTATTTATTTGACAGAGAGAGACACAGCAAGAGAGGGAACACAAGCAGGGGGAGTGGGAGAGGGAGAAGCAGGCTTCCCGCCGAGCAGGGAGCCCGATGCGGGGCTCTATCCCCAGGACCCTGGGATCATGACCTGAGCAAAAGGCAGACACTTAACTGAGCCACCCAGGCGCCCCCCTGATTACCTTTCTTAAAGTATTTTTTAAAAAAGTATTCTTTTATGAGAGTATAGTTGACACACAGTGTTAATGCTGATTACTTTTTAATGTCTGATTGGTGGTTGGTGACACGAAAACAAAGCCTTTCCTTCTGGTTCTGGGGACTAGCTCTTTAAATACAGTTTTGGACTCTGTCATACTTGTCACATTAAGAAGCAGATCGGTACAAGTAATCTGAAAAGAACAGGACTCGCGTGAATGATGAGGTGGGAGGGAGCGCTGACCCTCTGAGCCTGCAAGATTGTTGTTAGTAATAGCAAAGGAGAACAGAGACGGATGGTTGGACATCTTGGGGGAGAAAGGCTTTAGAAACAGCAATTTTTTTTTAATGATTTTATTTGGAGGGGAGAGGAAGGGATGGAGTAGAGGGGGGGGGAGGGAGGGACATAGGCAGAGGGAGAAGCAGGCTCCTTGGCTCCTTGCTGAGCAGGGAGCCCAGTGTGGGGCTCGTCCCAGGACCCTACAATCATGACCTGAGCCAAAGGCAGATGTTTGACTGACTGAGCCACCCAGGTGCCCCAGAAATGGCAGCTTCTTTGACTTGCTTTCTGGTACATCCCCTCAGCTATGGGGATTGCTCACATGACTGGCAGACCGCCATTCTAAGAAGAAAATGAGCTGGGGTCTCACAATGACACAGTGGTCACTCCTTCCTATGGCAGAAATAGGACAGTTTATCCTGTTGGCAAAAACAATGATGATGACGATAATAATAATAATAATAACTTAGAAAATATCCCCAATCCACTCTCTTAACAGCTCTTTCCATTTTCCAGTTTGGCCATTGACCAAGAATAACTAAGGAGAGATGGAGGTTAGAGAACTCCTTGCACTGTTGTTGAAAGTGACCTACGCTTCTCTGCCATAAAGCGTGAGCCTCTAACTTCTTCATGATCTTTCTAGGTGGGGACCTTGGATTCCCTTGTTGGCCTCTCCGATGAGCTGGGGAAACTCGATACCTTTGCTGAAAGGTAAACTATTTCTTATTTACTGCATACAAGTGAGAATTGGACATTGTTGTCAAAGGACACAGTGCTCTTGCTTTGGCTGAACCCGTATGTGTCCAAACCTGGTCCTAGAAGTCACATGAGGGCACCGGGTCCGCAGCAGCACGTGCCATCCCTCAAGTAGTTTGTTTGTTTGTTTTTTCCCGCTGGAGGCAGCGTTTTTTAGGGGGCTGCCTTCAAAATGAAGAGGATTCTGGCATAAGGTACTGAAACTTTTAGAAAAATGATTGATGCCATTTCCCCCCAGGCTTTTACATTTTAAGGTTCTTTGGTTTTGTGTTTGTAAAAGATTCGAAGTGCAGACAGAAGGCTATCAATGACAAGAAGTTTCCCTCTCGTCTGGTTTCCGCTTTCCTGTTCCCTCACTTTCCCTCTCTTGTGGCAACATTATTACTATTTTGGGGGCACCTTCTGGAGACAGCCGGTACATGTATCATGGAGTATGAATATATTTTGAAAAGTAGGTTTACACAAATGATAGCATATATCCTGCACCTTGATTTTTTCGCCTATTCATGTATCTTAGAGATAGTTTGGTGTCAGTCCATCACTGAGCTTCTCTACTGGGCTGTATTTGCTTGAAAAGAGGTGCCCTGATGTACTAGTATTTCCCTGTTGATGGACATTTAAGTTTTCTAGTCTTTTGCTATTACAAACGAGCTGCAATGATGGTCCTTTTTTCTACTTCTTTGTGCACCTGTGAGAGTGGGATCCTTCCGTGTCGAAATGCTGGGTCAGAGAGTATTCAGTGTAAACTTGTACAGATATGCCCACATCACCTCTCCAAGGAATTATTCCCATTCCCATTCCCACCAAAGGTGTGTGTACGAGGACAGTTTAAAGTCTTAAAGTCATTTATTTTTTTAATTGTTACAAATCTGGTACATAATCACGGGAAAATACAGATGGATCCTAGAAAAGCATGAAAAAGAAAATACAAATCACCAGTAATTACACCACTCAGAGAATGCCACTGGGATATTATGTTGTATTTGCAGTAGATGCATCCAGTTTTTTTCTACACATACTCATGCATGCATATATGGATAATGGTGACATCATGTTATACATTTTTTATTTTTTTATTATTTTTAAAGATTTTATTTATTTATTTGACAGAGAGAGACACAGCGAGAGAGGGAACACAAGCAGGGGGAGTGGGAGAGGGAGAAGCAGGCTTCCCGCCGAGCAGGGAGCCCGATGCGGGGCTTGATCCCAGGACCCTGGGACCATGACCTGAGCCGAAGGCAGACGCTTAATGACTGAGCCACCCAGGCGCCCCATGTTATACATATTTTATAACTTGCTTTTCTCTTCATATCTTTTTTTAAAGATTATTTATTTATTTGAGAGAGAGCAAGAGCGTGAGCGGAGTAGGGGCAGAGGGAGAGGGGAGAGAGAATCCCAAGCAGCCTCCATGCCCAGCACGCAGGAAAAGCAGCAATAGAGGAGGTCCCGAGAAATCTTCAAACACCCAAAGATAGAAACAGCACTCACTTCACACATGAAAATGCAAATGTTCAGGCCCCACCTCAGACCGAATCAGAAATTCTGGAGGTGGAGTCCCGTAATGTATTTTTTTTATGGGGGAGAGAGGCAGAGAGAGAATCTGAAGCTAGCTCTATGCCCAGTGCGGAGCCCAACTCGGGGCTCCATCTCATGACCCTGAGGTCATGACCTGAGCTGAAATCAAGAGTCAGACGCTCTTGATTGACTGAGCCACCCAGGCGCCCCTCTCTTCATATTTTATGCTTTGGATCTCACCATTGACCGTTCTACTATAATGTTATACCACAGGGATTTGCCATAATTTATTTGGGTGTTTAAAATAATAACCCCCAGTTTGGGTGCAACTGAAAATGTGTTGTTTAACCAATGTCCTCATTTGACTGAAACAGAATGCGGAGGGAGTAAATGAGGAAAACAGTCCAGGCAGGCCAGGTCATGACCAGGACACAGACCCAGGGCCGACTGCTTGATCTTGCCGCCTCCATAGAGGGTTTCAGATTCTCAGGGTTCGTGGACGTTGCTGTTTTTTCTTTTCAGTGCTACGGCGATACGATGTGTCACTGCCTTTTTTAAGCATTTTATAGGCGTCCCGTGATCGCACTTCGACGATTCTTCATCTGCAGATTGGTGCCATGAGCTAGAAATTAGGGTTTTCTGGGTTCTGTTGCTGCTTTGTTAGTGATACTTGCTCCCCGTAGGATGTTGCTCTAGCCACAGAAAGGCAGTCCTGGTCGCCAAGTCGTTGGCAGCACACCGTCTTTGAAAAACAAAACTAACCTTTGGCTTTCTTATCTGTAAAATGGGATAATAGTGAACCTCTCTGTGCTTTCAGGGTAGAATGAAGGGGAGTAAAATCGTGTTGCATCAAGTATTATCAAATCCTAGGACACGTTTTATGAAAAATTAACCTCCGAGCAAAAGTGGCTTGATCCCTAAATATCAACTCCTTTCTCTGGCAGTTCTGCTCCACGGGGAGTTGGGTCTGACAGCCGCCCTGGAGGCCAGCCCACTGCCCTAGGCCGGAGATGGCTTTCGATTTTCTCAGCAGCCTTGACATACCACAGCATGAGGCCGTGCATCGAGGAGCGGAGCGGCAATATAGCCTTGAGAAGTGTTTCCAGGCCTACTGCAGAAATGACAGCTAGTCAGCATTTTACCTTCCTAGACTTCTAGACCCTTCTAGGTCCTTCTTTGGTACCAATTGTCTGCCCTAGTGCAGGTCCTGGAGCCTGTTTTTTATTCCCCAAAGCCACCTCTAGCTCTAAAATTCTGTGATCCTGGATTATTACTTCCACCTTCCTTTTTGTTTCTTTTTGCCTTGTTTTTGTTCATGTTCTGTTCCGTCCCTAGTGGTTGCACAGTTCGCTTGGGCTGGTGGCATAGCATGTGTTTAAGAAATAACATGAAAATGTGTGAGCAGGCAAGGTTAAGGCTATATCATTGTGAAACAGATAGAACCGATAGGAATTGAGGTGTTTTCAAAAACCAGGGCTAGGCGTGGTGAGACTGGCTATGCATTGTTTTATTTTTCCTTGTGGGTATATAGTCTCAAGAGCCTTCCTACGGTGGGGGATGGGAGGGAGGAAAATCGTGTGATCTGAGCACCCCTTATTTCTAGCATTTATCTAGTCCAGGAGCCAGGGTACATTGTCTTAGGAGTTCATGCTGGAGCTTGGAGTAAAATAATGAGATACGCTAACCCACGGGCTTCAGATCATTGAAATGCCCTACCTGATTCCTTAAAGGGGACTCTGGGACTCGGGTGTTGTTAGATAAATAAATGCTAGCCGGCTATGTAGCCCAGGCAGCGCAAACCTGTCAGCACTGCTTCTGGCCAGGAGAACAGAGGAGGGGCGAGAGTTTTCAGGGTGTATTGTTTCCATATCCTTTTATTATTTATTTACTTGGGGCACTAGAGTGTTTTTCCATGTAGCTGGAAGGCAGGTTTTGCTTACTGCCTTTTTTTTTTCTTTATTCCCCCATGCTGCCTTTGTTAATTTACTCTGTATTTACCCTATAATTCGTGAACATTTGAGAAACCAAATGATTTTGTTGCCCCCCCACCATTATCACTGTTTGAGTTCTTCCCAGGGTCTTCGCTTCTTTTGCGGCGCGGGTTGAAGTATTACATTTCACAGGTGCTTTGGCACTCAGATATACCCCGTGGGTTCCTGGGGCACCCTGGTCACTGTCATTTGCCCCTGAGTACTGTACCTGGCTTGTGGAATAGTTGGTGGCTTTTCTTTACCCCTGGGGTTCCACGAAGTTGACTGAGGGTTAGCTCAAAGATGTGGATCACAGATTATATATCTGAGTGCCAATGTCTGCTTAATGATGCAGATCTTAGGGAATGGGTTCTTCTAAGGGCTTCCAAAGAGAAGTAAAATATAATTTAAAAAATTACCCTAGCTGCATGACATTTCTTCAGTTCATTAGACAAATAATCAGTTGAATGCCCCTTAATGCTGTGTGCCTTTCTAGACTCCTCAAAGCTGCTTGGCAGCCCTTCTGTAGGTGTTCGCTGTTCTCCTCTGAATGACTGTTTCCAACCTCCCCCTCCCTGTAAACCCCCATTAACACCTGCTCATGCTGCTCAGCTCGCCCAGACTCTTCCCCGCCGCCCCACCTCCTGCCTTCCGACCTGCTCATCTCCCCTGTCCGGGTACGCCCCTCCTCCATAGCGCTTACTGCAGTGCACGCGTGCATTTTCTTGTGGGATCATTTGCTTAAATACCAGCCTTCCAGCTAGACTCTAAGGTCCCTGAGGCTAGTCATTGGCACACTTAGATGCCTTGCACCTGTAACATTGTAGGCCCTCCAAAACCAGCTGAATGCATGAATGGAAGAAAGAATCAAGAAATATTAGAACTGCACAGACCCTTAGAGAGCGAATCTAATGCCTTGGTGTTCCATATGAGGAACCAAACGTGCCCAGAGAGATGCGCCTAGAAAGAGCTGGAATGGCTCAGGGCCGCAGAGGAAGGAGAGAGCCTTGATCCAGATTTCACCAGTCATCATTGTTTTGTTTTTTTTTTTTAAGGTTTTTTTTATTTATTTATTTGACAGAGAGAGACACAGCGAGAGAGGGAACGCAAGCAGGGGGAGTGGGAGAGGGAGAAGCTGGCTTCCCGCGGAGCGGGGAGCCCGATGTGGGGCTCGATCCCAGGACCCCGGGATCATGACCTGAGCCGAAGGCAGACGCTTAATGACTGAGCCACCCAGGCGCCCCCACCAGTCATCAGTTATGACTTTTTTTAAATACACACATTTTAAAATGTCTTAACTCATGTCTTATTCGTTGCTCAGATAATTAACATTGACATTTTACAAAGTATTTGTAAACATTTAAAAATTTAAATGGTATACAAAGGTAAAAAAAAGAAAGTTGCAGTTTACCCCAGGTGTTCTCCCCATAGGCAATCCTTACGAGGGTTTTGTATAATTCTTCCTTGGTA